AACATTATTTTCTTCCGTGATGTATTCGCGACATAGGCCCTCGTGAAGGAGGACTTCTTCCAAAATATTTCCACGTGGAGTGTATCGTTCTTCTGATACGCAGGGATTGTCTTGGGCAAGCCGTGTTGGTTGTAGATTTGGAACTTGATCAGATAGCGGGACTAAGTCCTCTATTGTTGTTGTACTTTGCGTTTCTTTGCAAAGTCTATCCCTTTGCGTGTTTGGCATTTGAATTGGAAGGTATTCCTTCTCGCCGAGTGCGGTGTCTACCTCACTTTTGTTCAGAGTGCTCCTCTCAGTACTCCTCAGGGTATCAGTCGAAGCATCGGTCAGAATGTCCGTCGAAGCATCGGTCAGAATGTCCGTCGAAGCATCGGTCAGAGTGTCCACGGGGGCGTTCGTCCATGTGTCCGTTAAATTGCAAATATCCATTGGACTGTTCATCCAGGTTTCGGTAGAAGGTTTTTTCCGTCTATCTGTCAGATTGTCCATTTTCGTACGCCCTTGAGGTGTAAGTGTCTGATGCACTACCCCGTTCATAGTAACATCTCGTATAGGTAGCATAACATCCTCCATAACTGCGGTCCCTCTGTCGTTAAACAACACTCCCGGCTCTGAAGTATGCTCTTCAGCATATGGTTGTCCTAGTAGGCTATCAGGGGAGTCAGGAGAGTCAGTGTCGATATCGAGACTCTGGCAATAATCCTCATCCGTACTGAGGCTGCTGCACAACCCTGGATCCGAGTCATCAGAGTCTGAATTCTGAGCCGCGGCAGGCTGTCTTTTCGATCTCTTGCGCTTAACTTCTGGGAGGTTATAGTTAATGAACTTGTGCGTCTGCTTTCGCCGTTTTGGAAGTGGTGTATCGCTTTGTGCTTCGGTTTCACTACTGTCCGATCGAGGCCGTTTTCGCCGACCAAGTTGTCTTTGATGACAGCTATGATTATCCTCCTGGTGCTCGTACAAAGCCGTGGTCGAAGGAAAGGGGCCCTGGGCTTTACAGCGTGGATCTGGACAAAAGAGTTGGTCTCGATTGCAATTTCGCAAATACGCATTCATGCAAGTCTTCTCGTGACGCTTCCAATCAGATAAATGCATATATGGATGCAGCCTATCTGAAGCAGGAAGCCTCTCATCATGTAGACAAACTCGGCAGTGACCAGCACGAGCGAGGCCATGACGATATGTAATAGGATCACAGCGAACCGGTATGTCTCCGTTCTTGATGTGAACTACACAATGATCCTCCCATTCACTTTCGCCCTGCTCCCAAGAGTTACATATGAAGCAGTAACGAACCATGCACCCGGACAAACGCTCATGGTCAGCTTTGCAACAGTCGTATGCGTGACGCCATCGGCCAGAGATAGGAATACTAATATACGATTAGCTGAGATGCGTAACAGTGCGCAATTTTTCTAACCTATCCATTTCTGCTCCACAAGATTCGACCCTACAACGGCCGTTGATAGGGCGTAAGGACTCCTGGTAAGCGACAGGAGAGTCATTTGTAAGTAGATACAGGAGATCCTCCATCACTGATCTTCCGACCTCGCTCCGAAG